ATCACCCTGATGCACCCATGTTCCAGGTGTATGGAGCACCACATCTACTGAGATTTGTACAATTTGGAGCAATGTTGGCCTATACACCTATGGATGAGAAGAGCCTTGCTTTATTACTGAATTATCTTCACAATTTCCTAAAGTACCTGGCAAAGAATTCTGCAACTATGTTTAGTGCCAGTGAAGTGGCCCCTCCTGAGTNTCAGATGTCAGCTTTTATTTTTTTAATCTCTGTGTGCGTGTGTGTGTGTGTGTGTGTGTGTGTGTGTGTTTTACTAAAATGGAGGGAAAAGGAGCTCTAAGAAAGTAGAACAGCCACTATATCCATTTCTCTTTCAAAAATTTCAGTGACACCTACCATCCCCCCTCCTCAAAGGCCCGATGTGGCACAGGACTGCAACAGTAGCTGTCTGTTTAGATGATAGGACAGCTGCCCATCTGGGTTACTGTATTATTAATAATTGTTTAATGACAGTAACAAGCACCATTTGTTAAGAGATTTAAAAATCATGTTTAAATCTCTTAACATGTCCAGAGTCCTTCCGGACTTCTGGACTGGAGAACATCCCTCTGGCCTGATTGGAATGATTCAGTCATTCAATAATATTTATTGAGCACCAACATATCGCCAGGCTCCATGCTAAGTGCTGGATTTACCGAGATGCATAAGATGTGGCCTGGCCTTCAAGGAGCTTTCGGACATGGTGGTGTATGATGGTGAGCCAGGCAGCCATCAAGCTCATTGTACTTGGGTCCTTATAGTGCTTCCTTTTCAGTAACGTGATATGCAGGCCTAAAGATTGAATCAAGTTGGACCGGTATGCTGGGGAAAACTGAAAGTTTATATGTTTGAGATAGCTCAATACTTGTACATACTCATATTTAACTGTGGAACTTTCACTCTGAAGTCTTATAAAGTGAGGGGTAGAAAAAGACACGTTATCATGAGTATCATATGCTATACAAGAGAAGTCCAAACAAATAAACTTTAGATGACTGAATCAAACAATTTACTTACAAAAAAGGTCGCCAATAACCTGAGAAGGACACAAGTTGAAATCACTTTTGCTCAAAGTCATAATGGCCAGAAAAATGACAATTTACTAATAAAGAGTACATATGATATAATACATTGTATGAATTAGAACTCTTATTAAGCTATCACAGGACTAACTTAAACTTATGGGTTCCTAGGCAAATGGGTTGCCTATTATATCTTTCAATCAAGCCCCAAACCACACATCTGCTTTAAAATTGGAAGTTTAATTTTACTTTGATTTTGACTCATGAGGGATAGATTAACAACAATTTGAATAATTTAGATTTACCTAAATTATGGATATAAAATACTATTTGTGAACTAACAGCATTTTAATATCAGACCTCATCAAACTTCATAAAACCAGATTGCAACATATCATGGTTGTAAGGACAATAGAAATGACATGGTGTCTTGATTTTCTTTTCAACAGATATGCGCACACAAATAAGTAATGCTGAGAAAGTATTTCTTGAGAAACTCAGTGAGAAGGAATATTGGGAAGAGTACAAGAATGTAGGAAGCAAACAACATGCTAAACTCATCACTTCTTTACAAAATGACATCAGTACAGTTAAAGACAATGCAGAGAAAATGTCAGGTCAGTTACAACAAAGCTAGCTCAAGTTCTGTAAAAAAATCTTTAGAAGACATGCATTTAGTGGAAGAAAAACGTGGGTACTCCATGAATCATTCATGACTCTCTGCTGTCAGAAAAAGAAGCTGTGAGCCTAAGGGTAAAGGTGGAGGGAGGCAGTAGAAAAGTGATCCCAGGACCACCTATGAAACTGAGAAGGGGAAGTAAAGGGACAGGTGCTGGTGGAGAAACCCTGTAACCAGCTGACTTCAAGAAAGAAACTTCATTCAGTGAGTGGTGTCTGTACTATATGCCTCTATGCCTGGGCCTGTAACAATCCCACTGGGGTATGAGGGTCCTGGGGCCAGGTTATATTAGAAATAATTCACCTGAGGCAAGCTAAGGCAACTTAGCCAAACTGGACAACCAGAATGATTATAGAGAAATGCCCAGGTAAATTAAGTTGTGACCAAAAAAAAAAAAAAAGAGAGAGAGAGAGAGATCAAACATGAGATGGGAAGTAGAGAGGGCATGGAGCAGGATGGCAGCAGGTGTAATGAAGCACCCCAGCAGTAGACCTGGACACCTATCTGTCTGTCACTGAGGCGAGGATAGTGGCTTAAAAGAACATCAGAGATGCAGAGACAGGAAAGTCATAGAATAAAATAAATGGGGGAAATCTGGCCCAAAACAGCACTGTGGTGGATGACAGTCCAGAACTCAGCTGGTGATGGTGCCCTGCATTGCAGAGGGGTTCCTGTGGAGTGGTTCCCATTATCCTCTGCCAGGGAGCCCTACTTCTAGACCAATTTTTATGTAAGTTTCTCAACTCAGGTAGTTTTTGCACCATGGTAGTAGTATAAATTTGGCCCCACATCAGTCTAAGCTTGGAGTTCCAATTTCTCAAAAGGTTTCCTCCTCAAAAGAAGAGAGTGAAAGTGTCAGTTTCCTACTCTTCTCTATCCCCCAGCCACTCAGATCCTCTCCGCAGAGAAAATCAATATTAACAGTTTCTTGTGTAGCCAGCAGAAATATTCTATGCATTTATCGATATATACATATATATCACAAATAGTATGCTACAGATATGATTTTTCACTTGCCTTTTCATGTAACAATATCAACATCCTTAGAAATCAGTACATATTAAAACTGCCTCATTCTTCTAGTGGCTATGTTGTTTTGTTGTACCATAATTTTTTAAAACAGTCCCTATTCATAAGCATTTAGGTTGTTTCCAGTCTTACTATTACAAGAATGCTGCAATGAATATCCTTACATATATTGTACTGTGATGAATATCCTTATATTTATGTCATTACACTTATGTGTATTTCTGAAGAGGAATGGCTGGGACACATAATCTGTTTATTTTTATTTTGGTAAATGTGGTCCTTTGTAAAGGTTGAATACCAAGTTGTACTCCTACCAGTGTCCATAGGGCTGCCTATTTTCCCACATCTTCAACAACAGTGGATGTATTCCAACTTTTTGTTCTTTGCCAGTCTTATAGGTAGAAAATGGTATCTTGTAGCTCTAATTTACATTTCTTTTATTAAAAGTGATGATAACTGTGTCTTTTCATAAGTTCAAGAGCCATATGAGTTTCCTTTTCTGTGAACCATTTGTTCACATCCTTCATCCATTTTCCATTTGTGTTGTGGTACTCTTTATACTTTAAGGAGATTAGCTCTTTATGATATAAATTGCAAGTATTTTTCCCATTTGTCATTAGCATTTTGTTTATGGGTTTTTTAATGAGGAAATTTGTACTTTTATAATGCCCAATTTATCAGTCTTTGATTTTATGATTTATAAGAATATGAATAAATTCTATAGTATTTTCTTCTTTTGTTTTCATATTTAAGTCTTTGTTTTTGTGTGAGATAAAAGTCTAACTTTATTTTTTCACCAGATGTTGAGATTTAAAAAGTTTTATTTTAATATCGTTCAACATCATTTATCAAATAATCCATTTTTACCCTACTGATTCAGTGCTAAGTTTATCATACTTTAATTTCCTGTACATATCTGGGTCTCTTTCTGTACTTTCTATTCTGTTCCATTGATCTATGTATTTGTGCATCAATATTATACTTTTTAAAAAGTTTTGTTCTGGTATGTTTTTAAAATTTTTAGTATTTTTGCTAGCATTTCTTCATTTTACATTTTTAAAGTAGGAAGAGTGATCTTCTCATATAAACTTAACCCATTATATTTATCAGAAATTTGGATGATTTATTTGAGTTGAAAATTTTTATGCTGTTGTATCCAACTTTGGGGTGGTAATAACATTTATATATTGAATTATTTGCTGGTCAAGTCATGAGGTATAGCAGAATTTAGGTGCCATGAGAAAATGGTTGCTATGGGATTGTCTTATTTGCCATTAGTTTTAGACACTTCTAACCATCCAGGTAGCAGCAGCCACTCTGTCCCGGAACGAATATAACACTTTGGGGTCCACTAATTGGACACACAGACTATGAACAGGACTCTTAAATCTATCTGAAGCCTTACTACCATTATCCCTTCTTTTTCTCCTACCTCTCTCCCTTCTACCCAGGCATTCTTTCTTCCATGATTTTTCTGGAATAGAACGAATGTAACACTTTGGGGGCCACTAATTGGACACACAGACTATGAACAGGACTCTTAAATCTATCTGAAGCCTTACTACCATTATCCCTCCTTTTTCTCCTACCTCTCTCCCTTCTACCCAGGCATTCTTTCTTCCATGATTTTTCTGGAATCCTCCTCCAACACCACGATCATGGGGTTTGTGTTAGGCTGCTTTACTTGCAAGGAACAGAGATTAACTCAAGCTGTTTTAGGGAAGTGGGGGTGTTTATAGTAAATGAAACAGGATATTAAAATAAAGCTTTTTTAAATCTCAATTTAAATTGAGGTGGCAATAAAATGGATGTCATGTATCGAAGTGAGATGAGAAACCACCATGTAGACTTGCAATATGGCAAATCAGAAAACCAGTTTCACCTTTTTGACCCCCAATTTCCAGATTATAAAAGAAATTGGAGAGACCAAGAGAAGATTGTTAGAAATTAGGGGACAATTTTTGGAAAAATCTGTTGGTGTGCTGTAAGTCCTGCACTTTCCCCCAAAGTAACAGGCAAAGGTAATTTCTCCTTCACCTTGAATCAAGATGAAAGGTCTTGGGCTGGCCAGTTAGCTTTCTTGGGAGAGCATGGTGCTGATAACATCAAAGTCAAGGATTTGAATCCCCATACCAACCAGCCACCAAAAAAAAGATGGAAGGTCTTTAACAAAACTCCTCAAAGAGTTGGAGTTGATGGGAGAAGGAGGAGGTGGCAAATCACTTATAAATCATGCTGAAGCAGGACCCAAAGCCTAAATTCCAGGAGGGTAAGTGAGTTCTGTGCTTTCATGGGCCTCTTCTTTATGAAGCAAAGAGTATACCGGTTGCTGTCTGGGTACAAGGGCTACTGCAAGGCTAATGCCAAGGTGATGTCGCAAATCCTACTCACAGCATCAATTGTCTAGCTCTTAATCCTGTTCGTGACGCCAATTGTAAAGCTAGGTGACCAGCTAGTTGTCGCAGCTCTTTTACCTGCCAATAATCCTGCACTGACTGGGCCAATGATTGAGCTAGGGCTGGGTCTGGAGCTCCCAGACCCCTCAAGCCCATTCACAGACTGGGTCACAAACCCTTCACACTCCAGGCTGGGTCGCCAGACCCCTCCACGCTAGGCTGGGTCACCAGACCCCTTCACGCAGGTCTATAAGCTAGGCAGCCAGCCACACAGTCCTTGGAAGCTGCAGGTCTGGAGAAACATGGCTGTGCAGGGCAGGCACCCAAGACAGTAAAAACCAGCCAAAGTGGTGCTGCCTTGCAGGTGCACTCACTCCATCCACATCCACAATGTTGCCGAACCACTCTGAACCAGCTCTGAGGCACGGGGAGCCTGACTAAATTGTTCCACTTTTCCAACAGTTGCCATAAAGGACAAACAAGTGAAATACTTGATACATTACAGTGGTTGGAATAAAAATCAGGATCAATGGGTTCCAGAGAGCAGAGTACTCAAATACATGGACGCCACTCTGCAGAAACAGCAAGAACTTCAAAAAGCCACTCAGGAGCAATATGCAGAGGGGAAGATGAGAGGGTCTGCCCCAGAAAAGATGACATCTGGTCTGCAAAAGATTCGAAGTCACCTAGAAATGAAGATGGTAGCAGTACCAGTGAGACACCTCAGCCTCCTTGGAAGAAAATGGCCCTGGTCGATCCTACTGTTGAAAATGAGGAAACATTTATGAACAGAATTGAAGTTAAAGTAAAGATTCCTGAAGAGCTAAAACCACGGCTTGTTGATGACTGGGACTTATTTACCAAGCAAAGACAGCTCTTTTATCTTCCTGCCAAGAAGAATGTGGACTACATTCTAGAGGATTATGCAAACTACAAGAAATCTCAAGGAAACACAGATAATAAGGAGTATGCTGTTAATGAAGTTGTGGCAGAGATGAAAGAATACTTCAATGTAATGTTGGGCACTCAGCTACTCGGCAAGTTTGAGAGACTTCAGTATGCTGAAATCCTTGCAGATCACCCTGATGCACCCATGTTCCAGGTTTTAAATTGCAAAAGAAAAAAGAAAACTCCTCAAATTATTCAATATGTGTCCCCTACAGTTTGGGGGACATTGAAGTCTACTTCATGACTCATCCCTGAGTAATCTAAGCTATCATGACTAACCATTTTGATAGCAGAACACAGAAGAGGTGGCTGCTCCCCTGGGCTAGGCCTGCACTCCAGAGGTTGTCAGGGCAAAGAGTGGAAGAGTGTTTCCTGTGGACCTGTTGTGAGAGAGAACTGGGGATCTATCATGACTAACCATTTTGATAGCAGAACACAGAAGAGGTGGCTGCTCCCCTGGGCTAGGCCTGCACTCCAGAGGATGTCAGGGCAAAGAGTGGAAGAGTGTTTCCTGTGGACCTGTTGTGAGAGAGAACTGGGGATCAGTTGTGTTAAATCTTGCCTGAGAGGGCTGACTGGAGGGAGGATGATAGTGCCCCAACAGAGAAACAGGGAGCCTGTCTATGTGTATGTGGATGGGGGATACTGAGAGCCAGGGGCCAAAGTAGAAGTTGTTACCGTCCTCCAAGGACAGAATGTCCCCTGCATCAAGGAAATGCAGGCGAAATATCACTTGAAAAGGAGAAAGTAGTTCTCTGAAGAACCTATAAAAACATTCCTATGAGAGGAGTCAGCCTTAAATTAAATACAGGCTAAGACCAGAGAGTGGACATGAGCTTGAGACAGTGTCAGTCAAGTGGGAGGTTTCTGGCCCTTTCCCATGCTCCCCTCTTCCCTTCAGCGCTGAGGGAGGAGGCATGGAAGATCACAGCAGAGGAAATAGCAGTAGGCCCAAGCTAGGAAAGGAGAATAGCCATAACTTTGAATTAAGTATAAAGTTTTAATTATTGTAATAGACTAGACATACTAACTACTTATTGGAGGAGATTTATTGCCACAAAAGAACCAGAAAAGTCATAGGCTCTGCCATATATCTTATTGAGAGGAAGTCACTAGCCTCACAGTATGAATTTTAAAGGGACAAGACAAAAATAGAGTTGCTTGACCTCCCAAGGCTCATGCTTGTTGGATGTAAATATAGCGACGAATGGGAGGACTGAAGACAGAATCAGAAGGCCATGGGACCCATCATGGCTCAAGGGAAGGCTTCTCCTTACATTTACCTCTCATGGTCTGTGACTGTCTCTCTCATGGCATCTCTGCTTTGCCCTGTGTGCCTATCCCCATTCTCTTCTTGCTTCCCACAGACCAATTCTTGCAGTATTCTCCAGCCCAGATTCTGAAGAGAGCTAGTAACATCACCTACCTAATCAGAGATAACCAAAGACCTTTGTCCATGCCTCCTCATGGGTCACCCTTCAGTCCCAGCACAAACTGTTCATTGGTCAGCTTTATTCACTCGCCACCCCTGATCCCTGGGGGGCAAGAGGAGAAAGCACCTAGAACTGCTTTCCTGAACTTTAGCTAGAAGGAGATGTTGGGATATTGGGTATAGAAAACGCAGACACTGATATGCCCCAGGCCGAGGCTATTTCTTCTCAATAAAAGGAAAGGGAACCTTAGGTTAGGTCCAGGATTAGAGAAAGTGCAAGATTATTGCAAGTCATTAGAAAATTATAGTCACAGAGTATTTTTATTTTTGTCCTTCATCAGGGGCACAGGACAGGGATCCTTAAAATTTCTCTGTACACAAAAGCAAATTAAAAGACTTGGGTTAAAGTCCACTTACAAAAAATGACATTATTTATTTGAATGTTAATTTGAATGTTAATTTTCTCATTATAAAATGAGAGTCCCTGGTTGATCTCTAAGAGGACTCACATTTCCAGCATCTGCTTTTCCAAGTCTTATCTAATCCTTACAAGTTCCTTTGGGTTAGATATAGTTGTGCCCAGTTTAGAGATGAGAAGTTAATTGTCTTAACCAAACTCACAAAGTTACTAACAGGATTTGAACCAGGTGTGTCAGACCCCTAAATTGATATGCTGCAAATAGACCTCCCAGCTCTGTGATTCAGTGAGGTAGGGATGGCTGTTTAACACAGACTGTGCCTAAAGAAATTGCGACCTGGCCAGTATTTCCACCTGCCCCTGTTCAGTTTTCTGCAGAGGGGACTGAAAGGAGGCCACCACCACAAGAGAGGACCAGCACAATGAAGCTGTGTAACACCCAGAAGTGAGAGAAGATTGCACAAGACTCCCAGCAATCTGTGGAGGAGTAAACCAAAACGGAGCCGGACATAACAAGGAAGGCAGAACAATGCAAAGCAAGCTTCAGCCAGTGTGGTTTGGGGTCAGTTTCTGAGAACTGACAACATTAGACCAGGCATCTGAGCAGCGAGGAATCTTAATGGCACAAAGTCATAATCTCGCAAGCTCCCGTACTTGCAGTGTCTCGAACTTTTATGAGAAGGAGACTTTTACATACCCCCATTCTCTTGGGCTACATTCACAAATGAATGGTTAATAATTGCTACCCAAAGCATCATATGAATCACAAAGGGTAACAATGTGAGATTTTCACATTCACCCATGTGGTGGTTACTCTGCTTTTAAGAAGAAAAATAGTCCACAGAATTTTATACGAAATTTGGAACAGAGTCAAATGTTAATAAAGCCTTTTTGGTATTAATATGGCAATAGAAAGAGCTACAACTTCAGTCAGAGGATATTTGGTAATCTTTTTTATGACTTAAAAACAGCAAAGAATTAATGTTTAATGCTATCAAGCTCCAGCTTTAATGGTTTCTTTCAGGTGTCAAGAATGTAAAATCCATTATAGTTAAACTCCTGATTCATTGCTACTTTTAGATTGACTGTTGTGTTTTGTTTGGGTAGAAGTTGCAAATAAATAACTAACATTAACCTGATGGGCTATGTCCTGAATTGGAAAAGAAATTCCATCAGAAATGACATTGGAAGAATTAAAATATTCAAGTGATTACTTCGAATGAGAGTAAGAAAAGTGCAGGTTATATAGATAAGCATATGCAGGTTGGAATACTAAAGACTTCCATATCTTATTCTCCAGTTGTCAAGTTAGATTAGTTCCCAAAACCTAATGAACTCTAGTTTATGAGCCACTGCCTCAGTCAAGTCAATTAGAGGCAGAAACTGGTCTTTCCCGATCCCTTTTCTAACTCCTCTGCAGCTTGGGAGAGCTCTCCTCCTCTTTTGACTTCCCCTTCCCCTCTCCATCAAAGCTGCCAATGACAAACCATCATTTGCTGCTGCTATCCTGGTGCTGAAGCCTCAGGTCACTGCCCACCAAAGACTTGCAGTTTACCAAATTTAATTTTCTTCAAAATATTTTTCAATATCTATTGTGTCCTAGGGACACAGTAATAGGAAAATGTGGAAGAGAAGTTTTTACTTTCTGCTCTCAGAGTTTTCAACTAATAGGGGAAACAGTTAAGTCAGTACAAATATAGATGAGGGCTTGACTCTTGCCCAGCTCCCCGGCCCCCTACTTCCTGCAGTAGATGCCTTAGTTTGGCTCCTGGTTCATCAAAAGACCAGAACTGCAGATCTCCTTCTCTATAGCACAAGATCCCTGAGAATTCTGCTTTGACTACCTTGGTCTATGAAGAAAATTTTCCCTTTGCAAAAAGGTTCTAAATGGCAGTTAAGTTCTAGAACACTGTTAGTACAATGTTACAGAGCGTGTTAAACAGGCCTCTGTAGACTTGTCCAGAGATGTAGCAAACATGATTTTCAACATCATTTGTATGAGAAAATACCTTCTGATTTTCAAATAATTATTCTGCAAATGTTATAAATAAAACACAATTAATGGGGGTATATAACATAGATGTTATAATAAAACACAACTAACTTTGATTATTCTCAGATTGACTCATTTGGAGTAGTACAGTTCCCTCGCGTTTCACATTGCTGACTGCTTTCCTTTATTCAGTCTCTGCTTGAATGTTACTTCCTCAAAAACACTTTCACTGATCACCCTATCTAAAATAGAGAAATTTCATTTTGCTTCATCACACACATCTCCCCCGGAAATATTATTTACTTCTTAATTATGGTCTGGCCTCCCCGTTAGAATATACATGTCACAAGGACAGGGGTTTTTGCCTGTCTTATCAGCAGTATGCCCGTTGTCTTCAATAGTGTCTGGCATATAGAAATGGCTTAATAATTATTTGTTGAAAAGAAGAATGGACAGGGCCGGCCCTGTGGCTCCCTCGGGAGAGTGCAGTGCTGGTAGCACCGAGACCACAGGTTCGGATCCTATATAGGGGTGGCCGGTGCGCTCACTGGCTGAGCTTGGTGCAGACCACACCGGGCGGAGTGTTGTGATCCCCTTACTGGTAAAAAAAAAAAAAAAAAAAAAAAGAATGGACAAACTAGATCTTATTTATCCAGCTTTATTTCTCTTTATTCTCTAAAGCAGCTCTAATGTCATTGTGCCTCATTTTCCTTAAAAAGGGGTGTTGAGTATATGATCTCTAAGCATCTTTCAAGGCCTAAAATTTTATGATTCTTTGCTCTCTCAATAATGACATTTATGAGTGTATTAGTCCATTTTGCATTGCTATGACAGAATACCTGAGACTGGGTAATTTATAAAGGAAAGAGGTTTATTTGACTTATGATTCTGGGACAGCTGCACCTGGTGCGAGCCTCAGGCTGCTTCTGCTCATGGTGGAAAGTCGCAGGCAGCCGGCGGGTACAAGCAGATCACATGGCGAGAGGAAGCAAGAGAGAGAGAGAGAGAAGGTGCCAGAGTCTTTTAAACAACAGCTCTCATGGGAACTAATAGAGCAAGAACTCACTCATTACTCCCCCCACCCCCAGGGAGAGCATCAATCCATTCATGAGGGATCCGCCCCCATGAATCAATCAGTTTCCAACACTGCCACATTGGAGATCTAATTTCCACATGAGTTCTGGGAGGACAATATGTCCAAACTCCATCAATGAGCATAAGAAAATCTGGAGAGGATAGAGAATCCTGCAGTTCATCTCTGGCCTCCATTCTTCCTCTGAGCCTAACTTAGAACCAGGTCTAACACTCTCC